AGTATCTGTTGCCTACTTGAATTGCAAGAGCATCGCACCGCATTCACATCAGGTGGTTTTCGTACGTACCACGCTGTTCGATGTTGCTGCCGCGATAGGGAAGCGACGCTCTGCTGGGTTAACTGATCCTGTCGAGTTCTGGTACGACCCTCCGGTACCTGCTCCTGATGCTGACGTCGCTCCCTCCTTCGCCTTTCTCCGTTTCTAAAGGTTTATCTATGAGGTTTCGAGGTAAAGAGTGCCAGTCCGATGCCTCCATTCTTATCGACACTGGGAACATGACTTCAGCCCTCTTTAAGTGCAGTTTTGCTCGTCACATGGGTTTGGCGATTCAACCGTCGGACCGTTGGTTGTACATCCCACCCTAACGGTCATACATTAGGATTGCTGGCTGCACCGCCCCCCCAGGTGGTCCGTACTGCAGGACCAAAGCGTGGCACTGCACTCGGGGGACAGTGAGCTCACTAACTTGCTGTTTGTTGATGATGCATCACTCTTAGCCACTGGCTGTGAGCGGGCACAATGCCTTCTTGGTTACTCGAGATGTTTTGCAAGGCGACTGGGATGGCTGCTAACGGAGCCAAGTGTGAGGTGCTTGTCTTCAGGGGCACACCTACTGAGTGGGGGTCGCTCGTGGGTTACGTGTACCGGCTGGGCGGGGAGATGTTGCGTGTATTGCCCCATAATGAAGCGGCACAGTACCTCGGGATGCACTACGGGACAGGCCAACGGTTTGCCGCCTGCACTTCTCTCTGTCGTGAACAGAAACGTACCGTACCCAAGCTCAACTTGTCATTTTATAATGCGCTGGCCTTGCCTGTCCTTTCCTACGAAGTGCAAGTGTGGGGATCCGGGTTTTTTAATGTGAACTTAGGGAATGCAGTACAGTACAAGCGGGTACCTACCTACACCTTTTCGCCTCATCTGTCGGTTGAACGCCTCGGCTGTGTGTCGGTATGTGCGTGTAACGGCAGCACGTGTCAGACCCCTCTGATGTCGAGCCCCTACCCCCCCCGGGGGTATGCGGTCCCGCAGTATCCGTAACGCACCCAGCNTGAGCCACCAGCNTGAGCCACCTCCCGGGTCCCCCCCCGTCGCCAGCACCAAGTGAGGGGCGTGCGCACGTACTCCCCCGGCCACGCGCGCGGGTGCGTGTGGGTTATAGGACCCCTCCTCGCTCCCACCGCAGCCGCCGTCCATACAAATCTGTGAATACATCCGTACATCCGTGCTGTCGTACAACCGTATATCCCCCAAGCCGAACGTCGCAGTATGCAGTCCTCAACGTAACGAGTAAGTACGAACATTTTATATTGTGTGTTTTGTCGGAGAGAAGCAACCATGTGTGTGTGTGTGCGTGTCTCATGGCGTGTGTCGTACACAGGTGTCATGTGACCAAACCTATTTCCAGCCCAAACCCCAAATGCCAGTTCTTAACCCATGTGCAGGACATACATACACAGCTCCGAACCCAACCCCAAACCGAATCCAATGCGCGTCTCCATTGACACTTGTCTCGCTCTCCCTCTCCTCCTCTCTCAAACAGCGACCCTTACCACGACCCTCGCAAAGCCAAGTCACAAACTCCTGCCAAGACAAATATTTGCCAGCGCCAAAATAATTTACAAGACACAATCCCGCTAGCTAGCTAGCTAGATATTCATGGCGGGTTCGAAGGACCCTCCTGCACGCGCCCGGAAAACACCTTCCCTCACAGCTGCGGGAACCGATATCGCAGGACCGAGCCAAAGTACAAAACTGACACAATTGTACAAACACGTGCCATATCCGTATTATGCCGTATTCCGTACTCCGTACATGCTGCAGTACAACAAACGTCGAATATACATTCGGGAATGGCACACACGCAAGAGAGCGGTCCTCGCTTTTGCAACACGCGCGCACAATCATACCACTTGGGGTGCCATGTACGTCATGTCGTACATGGCCTATTGCGGCAACGGAGGCGGCGCCTCTGTCGGTGTACCGCTAGATGCTTCTCCCCCCGGGACCTGGGGACCTTCCCTACCAATACCCGGCACGGCTGTAGCGGTCAAGATTGGTAGATCAGGATCAGGACAGGCACCCGATAGCTTAGCGGCACCCGCCACAGCGGCACCCTCCTGTTCCGCACCTGATCCAGTTCGGGAGACTGTTTGAGAGCGCTGCGGAGTGACGCCGCACGGGTCGTACACGTACGTGAGCATGAACCCCTGCGCCGTACGTCATACAACCGCATGGGTTACATGGTTTGGTGAGGCGGGGGGAGGCGCAGAGAAGGATGACATGATGACGACCTGCATGAAGAACTGCGTTTCACACCCCAATACGCGAATGATGCTGCGCTTGGTATTCTTTGAGTGGGTGAGTGAGTGAGTGAGTGAGAATATGCCCCCCCCCCTCACTTCTCCGGTAAACAACTCTGTGAAGAGAACTGCGTGGTGGCGGATCCGTGGGCATGTGGACCAGTGCGAATAAAGAGCGAATAATACCAGGAAAGAACAATAACATCAATTCCCAACCGTCAACTGCCAACTCCCCAATCCGTACCTTGCCCTCGACGGGAATTCCCCCCGTGGAAAGAAACCCGTCGGCCGCGGCGCACAATAAGGCCCGCGTGGCCGCAGAAATGTGTACGGCACCAGGTACACCCGTGGACTCCATTCGGCTGGCAACGTTGACTGGGGCGAGAAGGGAAAGAGCGATACACAGATTCACGCACGGAAGGGGGAGGAGGGGGAGGAGGGGGAGGGGGAGGAGGGGAAGGGGAGGAGGGCCCGGCAACATGCGCTGCCAACAGAAACCGAAAACTGAATTAAAGTAAAATCTTGCGAAGCTTGTGGAAAGGTAGGTTTTCACGTACGATGTGCGGACTTGCCTAGAAATACATCATCTGTCGCAGCAAGCTTCGAGCTACATACACGTGGAGCTACGTACGGCCCCCCCCCGTGCTGCCCTGGAGGCCAGTGGTCGACCTGTAGCCCGTAGGCCTTGCTCAGTCCCGTACACTTCCGTACTATGATATGTACGACGATGCCGTACAATGCAGTACCTCCGATGGTCTCGACCTTGTAAACTTGATGCTTCTCCACCAGCTGGTCAAAAGTGGTGAAGAGGTCGTTGAGGAACGCCATGACTCGGTGGGGTGGAACCTGACCACACATGCTGGTGAAGGAGGCGATGTCTGTGTACGGTACATAGAGAATTCGAACCATCATCACGTAAATTACACGTGCACATGGGGTAGGAAGAGATTACTGAAGACACAACTTTACGAGTATAACAAAATATTAAAAAATTCAAAAACTTCAAGCATCCATTATAATAAAAAGGTAAACAGCTCATGGTGACAGTGTATTTTGTATATTATGTAAGCGAGGGACCGTGCGTCAGTTACGGTAAAGTACGGCAAACCGTTGTCGTCAGTTGAAACCGTTGTCGTAATACCCCGGGCGCTATGTCGAACCACCGCCACACACAGTTCAGACACACCCCACCGGCAACCCACCTGCGAACAGCACCGTCACCTCCTCATGCGCTCTCGCCATGTACTGCTGTGCGCCGCTCAAGGCTCCGAAACCACCACACGAGGGCGTGGAGGGTGAGGTGACGCTGTGACTGTGGCTGTAGCTGGAGGGAGCCCAATGCTGATTGCGCGTTGGGGAGCTGTAGCGGGCGGACAGGTGGCGGCGGCGATGGGTGGGTGGTGGCGACGGGGGCCGCTGTGGCGGCCGCCTCCGTTGCGTCGCCGCAGAGGCCCGGCGGCGCTGGGGCGCATGCGGCGGCGGCGGCGGCGGCAGTAGCAGCAGCGGCGGCGGTGACGGCGCCGCAGCTGTCAAGGCCGCAAGGCTCTGCGATGTTATCACCGCTCGCATGAAGTTGATGACTGAAGCAGCCGAAGCTTGTACGATCGTCGCAACTGTCGTACACTCCATGGGCTGTGCAGGTGCTGTGGTTATACGACGCCAGGCTAGCGCAGGTGCCGGCTGGCCCACGCCACGTCCGCCACACGACAGCTGCCTGCCGGCGGTGGCGGCGGCACCGCCGCTGACAGTGTAAGTCGATGACAAGGAGGAAGTGCGCACCAGGGAGGGACATCCGCCGCCGCCGCCGCCAAAAGCCGATGTACGGCGCTTGTCTGACGTCATCACCTCCAGCACGTGTCTCGGAAAGACTTCTTCAAGGATGCGGTGCTGTACGGCGGGTGGTCGCGAACCCGCCGTCGTACCATCCATGAAGCATCAAGATCCAGATCCAGGTCCAGGGAAGGTGAGCCGATGAGAGCACGGCCCAAAAGAAAATGGGATCAAAGGCCACACAGTTCGTTTTGAATTTCATTCCGCAAAGCTGGAAGGTACACCATTCAAATCCCAACGGATGCAATAACATTTATACATATCGCTTTGGCTTTTTCATTTGTGACTGCACAACAAAGCTCTCTCACCTCAGCATCTAAGACCTGTCTAACCTCCAGCTCAGCCTGCACGTACGGCGTGACGTCATGGAACGCGAGCACCAGATTCCATTCCGTTGAAACCGGATCCAGAAACAGGTTTGCTTGAACCTCATGCCAGCAGCAGTTGCTAACGTACGGCGGCGATGCACTGGGCAGAAGCGGTGACGGCGCCGCCGCCGCCGCCGTCGCCTCGGTATGCGCGAGCTCCTCTCCCGCCGTCGCTAAACTGGTCGTAGCACCGCTCGACGCAGAGAATCCTCGGAGGCCGCCGCCGCCGCCGCCACCGCCGCCGCCGCCGCCGCATGAAGCTCGCACGCTCGTCACGCTGGCGCTTAGGACTCTCCGCGCCGCCGTCGCTGCTGGCGCCGCTGCCGCTGCCGTACTAGCTACCAGGGGCGGCGCCGCAGCTGTCAAGGCCGCAAGGCTCTGCGATGTTATCACCGCTCGCATGAAGTTGATGACTGAAGCAGCCGAAGCTTGTACGATCGTCGCAACTGTCGTACACTCCATGGGCTGTGCAGGTGCTGTGGTTATACGACGCCAGGCTACAAGACGTGAGCTTATGAATCCTCTCACTGCCTCCATCCTCGCCCGTAAGAACAAAGTCCCCGATTCGTTTAAAAGCCTCAGTCCTTACCCCGAGAAGTTTGGTGTCGTGTAGTCCTCAAATGAAATGCTAGGTCCAAAAAGATTTTTACAGTTGTCACAACCCGAATCATGGAACTGCAAAAGGGAATCGGCTGAGCAGCGTCCTCAACGCTCCACCGCAACAAACACCGCACCTGGTTGCGCGACTTGATTAGGCGGCACACGTAGCAACAAACAAGATTCTTATTGGTAAGAGCAAAGTCAGAAGGGTCCCGATTGCACTCGCCGTGTGCTGGGACGTCAGCGACCCGTTCCATTTCTGGGCTCCGGGCCCGTTTCTACGTAGATGCTTTTCTACTCCTAGTACCGTATTAAGCGTATATATAGGATGCACCACACCTCAGGCTGCCCGGAGAAAAATACACGGAGAACGGAGCTGCGCAGCGACGCTGCCGGTATCGTTGCTGTAAGGTTGGGCTGACTACAGTTTCAAATTTAAACATATACCGTAGAGGCAAGGAGGTGCATAAATGAAGAATACCGTCACGAATTCAGCTATTGGAAGAGGTCCGAGGCGATTGTTGCAGTTGGGGGTTGGCTGTCGTACCAGAAAACCTGCCGAGGTTGTCCCTCAGCCCGGGGAGTACATTGGATTTCCGGGTGCGTATTGTGCAGCACGTAGAACTTACTTTAATTGGTGGGTGGCGGATGCTTTGGTGTGTGGGCCCTTGGGGCTTCTCCTCGCGTCGAAAAGGCATGATCAAATTGCAATAGCCGATAGGTTCAGGTTCGCAGGGAGTCGGGGTTACGTTCTGCGCTTCCTAAGCCCAGGCTTACATGTGTTTGAATCGATGCCTGTAGGGCTGATGCGTGTAACACATGCAACTAAAACCGAAGCCAGGACTCAGAACCATGCCAAAACTCAAATGCCCGAAATTAGCTTCATATCAACAGTTAGATATTTTCATTCTAGACACGTATATTATTGCTTTATACGGCTCGGAGCTGGATAGCTCAGGCTTTTGTGGGTTTGACTGTAATGCACCTAGGTCGTCCAGGCGCCTTCGACGGTTGAAGTTGGAGTTGTCCGTCTCTTGTCTTCCCAGAATGCATGAGCTATGAAATGTTTTGATTGTGTTGGAAATGACCGACACTCATATACCAGTGAATGGTAGCCACAGTAATAGGACCCAACGGGGGTCCGGCGCTTTGCTGGTCTTAACAGGTTATGAGCCCCGAATGGCGCATTGCGCTGCCGAGAGGTCGCCGGGTCTTAACAGATTGCATTAAGGATCAGGCAATTGGATAGCAGCACCAGGAAGACTACATTGCAAAGTTTGTCCTCACAATTGCTTCTGTTTGCCCGCTTACAGGCAGAAACTGGAAGATCTGCGTGATGAATGCTGTGAGCAGGACGACAATTACATCTACCTTTCAGCGTGCGATGTTCCGTGTCTCGTCCGTGTCTCGTCCCATGTTAGGGCTCGGTGACATGGAGCGACGGGGAGATGACATGCTGGGCCTAGGCGTTCAAAGCAAACAGGTTAAGCAGGAACTGATGATTTCGACAACCTTTAGTGTGGGCTTTGATGGGGTACGTAGGCGTTGCGTCCAGTGCCGTTGCGTGCTGTACTGCACTTCGCAGTGCAGTTCGTCGTACCCTGTGCAGCGCCTGGTGTATTGTCCGGTGCCATGTTGGACGTTTCCTTGCTATCGTGTTCGGCTGGCGGCTGGCAGCAGAAGCGGCAGCAGCAGCAGCGACAGTGATCGTTACAAGGCAAAGCAAACACCTGTAGGATTGCGTGATGGATAAGATTTTATGCATGTCTTTTCGCTCGTGAACCCAAACGAGACGGCCTCATGAACCACCTCATCGTACCTTGCTGATTATTCCTTCCCCTCCGCCCATCCTCCTGCCCCGTCCTCCCGCCTGTCTCTGGTGCGTCCTTATGGCTGCGCGGCGGCCGTATATCAACACCAATGCCGAGGGCGCAACGATTGGGCGCTACACGAGCTGCAGTCCTTGCATGAGCCCCTGGATTTCAAGATACCTCGCGCTTTGCGGTTGGTCGTACTGTTTAGGGTTTTCAGTTCCGCATTTTGTTGGGAGCGTGCAATCATGTCTGCCGTGCAATCATGTCTGCGGTCTGCTGCGACAGCAGCAGTAGCAGCAAAGCAGTAGCAAAGCAAACGATACCATCCCCTCCCGCCCCGCCCCACCTGTTCCCCGAACCGCGTACCCTCCTTTTGGCCGGCGGCGCTTGGCGGTATCTACGGTGCAAGCACCCTCCAGATGATACATGCGGTAAGTCGGCGATATGGATCCGTGCCGTATCGTGGCGTGTACTACATGTTTCGTATCGCCGTGCCGATTGTGTTTTCCTGCGCCGCGTATCGCGTGATTATGCAGTCGTACTTGGCTGGCGGTTGGTGGCAGCAGCAGCAACAGCAACAGCAGGAGCAACAGTAGCAAAGCGCAGCGGAGCAGACCCCTTAAGGAAAGGTGTCCAGCCCTAAAACAAAGTCCGGATTAGCGTTGCTAGCCGCCATCCAAGCATGATTGCTGTGTATCTCAGTATGTGCCTGTGTTTAATGACCTCGTTGTGGGAAACGCTGCCCGTCGCGGTAATGGACGCCGCGCTATCGCTCCACAACGACGCCTTCCGGCAACTGCTGCCACGGTACCGCGGATATGAATGCCACACGGTACGGTGCGGTTCCGTACAGTAACGTACGGTGCGGTACGGGTGCAAGGGTTTCAAATAAAACCTGCAGTAGCATGTCGTAAAACACAGGATTGCGGAAGTGGTCTCCCTGGTAGTGGCCTGAAGTGGTCTCTCTCGCTTCCCTGCGCGGGAGTGCACTGTCTGTCTGTCACCAGGGAGCAGTTTTTCCGCAGGAGGGCGGGTGGTGCATAGGAGGTGAGATAGAGAAGGATAGGAACGGTTGAGAAGCGCCAAGGCCTCGCCGGTGTCCGTTTTTAGTAGTCCCTTAGGTGGAGCTGCCAAGAGCGCACCACTCGCCAGCCCCACCTCCGCGTCCGTTGTTCGTGTCGCTATTTGCGCGAAGCGGGACTTTGCAATGCAGGGCCCCACCACCGCATGCTCGCCTGATGCTCGTACGGTGGGTTTCTACCCGCTCAGGTTATGGGCTCGCGGACGGGTAAAGGAGGTAAGTGCGCTGTTTCTAGGAATTGGGACGTTCTCTGACGCGCTTGTGTTTTCCCTTTATCGTTCTTCCCTAGGGTGGCAGAGGCGCCTGGCTCCGCTGTCTTCTTCCCGAGGCTCGTGTTGGTGCTGCTGTGGCGGCGGCGGCACCCCGTCGTGGTGCTGAGGGGGGCTGAGCACTTCACTATTACGAGTGTCAGTATGTGCGTTGATTTGAGTTGAGGGATGTGTCCAGCAGATTACCAATCTGTTTCGGCTGTACGGGCGATTAACTGGTCGGTTGCTATCGGTTGTGGTGTCGTGACTCTTCCGTGTGCCGTAGTTTGTGGAGCATCATCCTATTGTGTTTTTCATGTCGCGGTACGGTACGGTACGAGGATTAGTGATAACTGCACAGTGGGCTTTGGCCGGAGGCTGGCGGCACAGCAACAGCAGCAGCAGCACTGTGTCGTACCGTCGAGGTATATTGCGCGCTTGATTTGCTATGAGCCGGCAATAGACACAACACACGCTGACTTGTCCACACACACGCCCTCCCCGCTTGTTTCTCACTGTATGTCCGCATGAACCTGGTCCTGCAATCAACATGATGGTCTGCTGCTGCTGCTGCTGCTGCTGCTGCTGCTACTGCCGGAGTTGAGTACCTTCAAGAGCTGCGATTACTGGCGGGTGCCTGAGGGAAATTTCTTGCGAATCTGTATATGGCAAGGAGCAGAGGGTGCGGTTAGGCCAGAGGTGAAGCCAGTGCGGCGGCGGTGGTCGTGGAACTGGTGGCGGTGGATGGCGCGATGGACATGGATAGGGTGTCTATATTTTAGATTCGGCCCCGGTGACCTATTTCCATGTGGGTTCGAGCCCCACCGTGATCGAGGCTACAGCCGAGCTCGCGGCTAAAGCTTCACCTTGTCAACACCTCTCTATTTTCTCGTTTTTATCCAATAGATATGTCTAGCAGAAGATAAGGAGAAACTGCAGTAGCAGCAAAGTGCGGTTGTCCGATACGCGCTGGATGAGAAGCGGCGCCAGTAAGCGCCACATCCAGGCCGCGTGCCGTTGGTGTGTAAGTATTTCAACAGTTCGTAGCGCCCGCGTGCGCTTTGGTCGTCAAGCCCTGCACCCGCGTCGGCTCCCTTGTTGTGTGCACTTCGGTATCTTACCGTTACATTGCCACCATTTATCTATGACGCGGCAATTGTCATTTTAGGAGACTTCGGACTGGAAAATTCACCTGCAAAATTGAAAATAAACACAGGAAGGCAGGATCTGCCAGGTAGCGGCTGCAGGGTGAAGATATGAACCCCCTGTCCCATACATCATACATACACTCTCTTGCACTTGGATGTGTCGGACCGTCTGTCTTGCAGCCACCCTGTGGACCACTATCAGGCTACCGCAGCTCGGTCGGCATCATGAAGGCAGCTGCTGATTACATATTGTCACTTGGTGTTGGGATGACAGCACAGTGATGGAGCTGATCATGAACTTGTTGGGGCAAGGGATGGATGGCAACAAGTGATAGGGAACGGAAATGTGGCGGGAAGGGGCTAACGGGCGAGGGTGAACGGGAGGGATATAGGGTGATAGGGAGTTGGGCGGTGCACGATCTCGCTGCTCACAGCAGTGCTGGGTGACAATGATGGTGCATCGATGGATGACCTTGAAAGAAGAAGCTACGGATGGCTTAGCCCTGTCAAAGGAAAGCTCCCCATGATGGTTCCATGGCGCCCTTGTTCGGGCCGCAGTCCCTTTTGTAAGCAAACGTGAC